AAAGAATTAATTTTTCTTTCATTGAAGAGAAGGTCGGTTTGAAATATCTCTCGTACATTGTCGAAATTGCGTTTCTATCGCGTTGTTTTCTCTCTCACGCTTCAAGAAGAGTCTTCGCTCCGATATTTCTAGTGGTTCTTCGGTCAACCTAATTTCAGACACGACTGGTAATCGATCGTTTCTTAGGCGCTACCCCCATTTTCTCGCGAATATATACATCCATCTTACGCGCCGCCGAATAAATGGCGTCCGACGCGACCGCGCGCCGATCGATCGTTCGGTCCTAATTTTTCGCCTTTCACGCGAGAGACAGGACCGCGGTATCAATTTTACGTCGCGTTTCCCGGCTCCTCAATGAGAGCACATTGTTTCTGACGAATAACTCCGAACGATTCTCCAGGCAAGACCCGAGTAAAATGGCTCGTGCTAGTTAATCTTAGGGCTCGACCGGCAATAAAACCGGACTGCCCTTACATTCCTGGATAATGCGCCGTCCGCTATTTTAAGCCCGGGGTTTAATAAACTTACGTCGCTTAATTAGAGCAACATTTCTCCTAACTCGCGTCTTCTCCCGCGTTTTTATCCGCCTAACCGACCAACCAGCTCGTCCGCTATCGCGTGATTCCCTAATTTTGTGATTAAGATTGATTGTAATAAAAAAGTTTTCATGTTTTTTTTACATTCACTTTAATTTTTCTATGCCAATTTCTGATTATGGATATATTATAAATTACTATATACAATAATTAATATTTTCAATTCAACGTGAAATAATTGTACAAAATGTACGATAGAATTCAAACAAATTAAGAGAGAGGGAGAAAGAAAAGGAGAGAGAGAGAGAGAGAGAGAGAGAGAGAGAGAGAAATACAATAATATTATGAGTTTACAATATATAATTTTACCATATGATGTACAATTAATTCAAAACATTAATTATTATATCTGTTTATTCATAGTATTTCGCGCGCATTATACGTAGAATAATAGTTTTGAGATTTGAGTCAAACCTTGATCAATCATAACAATTATAATTCACTATAAACATTGTTTGATGTTTTAAAAATAGAGACAGGAATGTATACACTTGGCATATCGTTGTCTAATTTTAGACCGCCAGATGGAAAAGAATCAACACGATTTTTCAGGATAGAAATATTTTTATACAACGAACACACGTAAAACGTTTCGCAAACGCACGTTTATGCATCGCGAGTGATAAGTTGCATGAGTTGCGATTTTTCTGCTTTTTCCGCTCGTTTCTTTCTTGTATACTAATACGCGCATCGAAGTCATACCGTCCGTATTTTCCGCCTCTGTCTTTCAGTTTCCGCTTCTCTTCCTTCCGGCTTGTTATAAACACGTTATACTTGTCCAAGCATGGTATATCGTTCGTTGCCATGAACATCCTTTATGCAATAAATCGGCAAACTATTGTAAATCGCGAGAGGTCATGCTCTCTTATATAACCAACATGTGTACAAGATTTCAATATAGACATCATTTTATTAAAAATGTTCTATCATACACACATAATACATATTCCAAATTCTTCATGCCATAGCTGTAACATGATAAAATACATTAAATAATTTTTTTGCAATTTTAACTGTACATTTTTCTAATTGTGATGTCTCTCGTAGAGTCTTTTGAACGCCGGAATTTATTCCAATATCAAAAGAAAAGTAAATTATTTATTATTCTATTTCTTGAATTCGACAAAAGGCTATTTTTTAAATTTTTACTATGACATGAAAAATACATTCTCAAGCTTTCATTCTATTTAGTATCCTATCGCTGAATACCTTATTTGACTTTTTAACAAATAATCTAGGCTTTAATTGAAAAGTCTGCTCAGTCTGATAAAAATGCTTGATAAATGTTGCGACAGAGCGAGGTTTAAATTTAAAGAGACCAGTTCTAAATTAGTATTCTTCGTAAGATCAAAGCACGCTGCTAATAGTATTTCATTACACTGTTTCGTTATACACACGTTCTCTACGCATCTCGAGGCTAGTTACACGGCGACTACTTTTAGAACACTACATCCGTCGCGGTTGTACACTCGGGTCTTTTCGACCCGTCTTTCGAATTTCCTCGTCCAGTCCCGTTTAACTTCGTCTTACTATATCAGTATTAAAACAAAAAAAAGAAGAAAAAACGCTACGGGATATCTCGAGGCACTTAATCCACACACACACATATACACGGGCTCTACGTACGATATTCATTCTTACCGTATATACATACCGAGTACTTTCTCTTTTGTCTTCGATCGTTCCCGTGCTTCTCCTCCTCCCACATTGCGCACGTTGTAGTCGTCACGTCTCTTTCCGCCCGTGACTTACCACGCAAACTTACGTGCGTGCCGTGCCGCGAGCTGCGCAACGTGTACGCTCAGACTATACTATGATACTATCAATGAATGACTGACTGTCTGGCGTGTGTGACGTGGCCACGCACATTGACCATAATGACTTATCTCTCACTCCGTCTCTCACTCCATCTCTTTCATTTTTTTTTTTAAATTTTCCTGAATGTTTGTCGTTGTTACGCAAGCACGTGTGTGACGTCACGCATTTTTCTCATACAAGGGAGTTGCTCGATATATCAAAAAGATTGCTGCTCATTCAAAAAATTATTTCACATTTACCTTCTTTTCTTTCACAGCGCCCACATTTTTTTTATCCATATAATTTTTAGTCATATTTTTTATGTCATAACAATAAATTGACATTTAATATTTCCGAAAGTATTAAATTTGTCAGTTTTATATGTTATTATAAATGATAAAAATATCTACGCATCGAACATGATTACACACTTTGGAAATATTTTATGGGATTTGATAATTAAATTGATATCGCAAAAGAGCTTAAAATAATATATTTCGATACCGATAATTTACTTAGGAAAAATTATTATGTATACATATCATAATTATATATCATCTCATATACATATATTTCTTTCTTATATATTCATTAAATACTTGGAAAAATATTCAGCAACGCGTCTCTAATAATGAAAAATTGAGTCCAACCTCAACACACAATTCTCGATTCTCGATCAACCGCTGTACCCTCTTAAATATATCGTTATTACATCTGATATAGTCGCCACAGTTAATCGTCGTTACTATACGTGATAATACATCCGCGGTCAATCACCGTCACGAAAGCGAAGTACGGCCGTTCGATAAAGCGAGCTTCCAATTGACGGAGCGACGCGAGGAACGAACGCGGAATGAAAGAAAGGAGAAATAAAAATGCGAGCGAAAAAAGACGCCGCAACAGGGGAGAATGAGACGGATGTATGTAATCGCGAGCGAGCGTACTTTTCTCATACTTTATGTCCTCCGCCCCCGCTGTCTATCTTCCTCTCCTCCGGCATTTCTGTTCTCTCTTTCACACTCGCGCGCTCCGCTATCCGTATTAACGGCGTAGAGCGTACAACGTTCTCCGCGTACGATGCAATCAATGAATGACGGTATAGCGCGGCACGCACAGTGACCGGATGACTTTTCTTATCTAACGTTCTCTTTCCTCTTTCCATTCCCCTCTCGATCTCTCTCTTTCTCGCTCTTTCTGTCAGTCTTTCCGTCCACGCTCACCACGATCTTTCCGCTCTCGTACTATACGCTTCTTTTCCGCTCGGTACACACGCACGCACGCACGCACTCGTATTTTCGCGCTCCCTTAGCTCTTTTCTCTATACCCTCCCTCGCTCTTCTCTTTCTCCTCTTTCGTCTCCTTGTGTATGCCCTCCCCTACTTCCTTCGTCCGGTTTGCGTTATTCGCAATGCGTATACTGTCGAGTAAGAGAAGGAAGTCCCGATATAACGCGCTGTTCACTGGTTTAATTCAGATTTAAATTCCGCGTGAAACCGAGGTATATTTTTATAGAACAATTGTACATTGTGCGCCACGATGTTATTAATATTTCATTAGCAATTAGGATTAATTGTTTCAAATCTGAAGGAAAAATATTAATTCTAGATCAATTACGTACATACAGTTTTTTAAAAATAGTAATACGCTTCTTTTTTTTTTTTTTTTTTTTTTAGTTCGTTTATAAAAATATATAGAAAATTTTCTCTGCGAGAAATACACGAATTGTCTAATATATTAAATATATATGGTGCTACAATATTGATAAAATACATAAAAATTTTTATTCCAAAAACGAAATGCATGCAGTTTGCATTGAGAATATTAAAAGACATAACTGAAAAACGAAGAACAGAGATATATATTATACTTTTATACGGTATACAATTTTTTCTGCATTATTATATATGTATATGTCAATCTTTATTTTATTCATAAATATTATTTTAACTCTTAAATGAGAGTTCGTATTCTTTCTTTCTCTCCCTCTCTGGAATATAGCGGATCCTATCTTTCTCGCTTAGAACTACACATAAATCGCGAGCGAGATTAAAAATCGCGACCGGAAAAACACTGAAATCGAATTTTTCTCGTGTCGCAGTCCTCGATTTCACATGCGAATCCTCCCCGATCGAATCCCACGACCGATTTCCTTAAATCGTTCTCCCTTATTCGCCAAAAACTGTCCGGAAGGAGCTCGTCCACGGGGTCAGGAACACGTACATCGTCGGGAATTGTACGTCGTTCTCATCTTCGTCGTCGGTCGCGGCTATCGATCGGTCGCGGGCGTCGGCGTCGGTACCGCTCGGTGGCGCCCCCGTCAGCTCCGGACGGCGGCGACGGCGCTCTGCGTCGCTACCATCCGCCCCTGGGGGGCAGCGGGGGATGGTGCGCAGGAGGCGGAGGGGGGCGGGGTGCGGTGGGGGGCATCGACACGCAGAGAGCGACCGTGCCTTTGGTGGAGCCGGCAAGAACCCGGCGTGTACGTCGGGCCGCCACGTTAAAAGCGGATTTATTAGTTGGTAGGGTCGCATTCTTTTGTATTACAAAATGTCCGGTTTGCCATCCTCGACCTCGTCTTCGTCTTCGTCGTCGTCATCGTCATCGTCATCGTCATCGTCATCGTCGTCGTCGTCGTCGTCTAGTCTCGGCTCGACGGCTCTTCGCCGGGAGAGAGAACAGAACCGAGTCGTGAAAATCGGTAAAGTGCGCGTGAAAAGTGTGCGATGGTCGTGTGTGGGATTCTCTCGTTTTTTGTCTTTTCTCCACTCGCCGGGGTGATGAGAAACGAGCAACACGCGCGAATCGCGAACCTTGTCGTCGTCGAGTATACTCGTCCTACCGGCGTGTCGCGACTGGAATCCGCGAAGTGTTCGTGGAAATTCGGCCGACACGACACTCGTCGTCGTCGTAATTGGGAGAACGTTCGAGGATAAGTGGAAAAGTTCAACATTAGACACGACACGAGAATTCCTGTAACTAATGGATAGTGACGCGTGTAATTTCGGATGAAATCATGCGTGAATTAAATTATATCGAGAAGATCGGTTGCGCAGATCGGAGAAAACGCAAGGTTTCGATAAATTTGTCATCCACGACGAATATCTGTACTCGAAAAAATTCGGTCGCCGGATCCGCGATGTCGAAGTGGAGTCGTCGTCTCAAGACTGCGCCCGGTGCTCGTGGACGAGAATTTCGGTTCAGCATGGCTGACATCGCGACGTCGTAGGGAGAAATTCCTGTGAAATACTAGTGCGAACGATATAGCTCACGGAAGGGATCTCCTTAAAGATGACCTGAGATCTCTCGTTCTACGTTTCTAAAATTCGCAAAAGGTACGTCGAGCGGCAGACGAGAGATGTGTTTCACCGGCTCACGCATGGCCGTTTTGGCCAAATGATGTCGGAAAATGCCGGCTCCGAGAGATCCCCAGCATCCGGTTTCACCGACACTTTCCGCCACGCGAGACCCACCGATTTCGTTACCGGCCAATACGAGATTTTTTCGAGATAAATTCGATCTACCATCAACAAGTTCCCCCTTTCATTAAAGAACTGGGCCATCTCTCTCTTTTCTCTCTCTCTCTCTCTCTCTCTCTCCCCGCTGGGGGTAGATTTTAAATGTCATTGATCGCGCGACCTTCGATGGAATTTCGCGTACAGTTGTCACGTCACCGCTCCTCATCCACCGCTAAAGTGATCGTTCGGCTGTCTATCCTTCAGCTTGAAATGAGTGATCTTCGTCGTGCAATACGTGCGCGGATCGATTCGCGGAAAATGTGATGTGTGCGTGATTCGAGAGTGCGCGCCCGAAATACGGCGTAGAATATGTTTCGTGGTGCTCGTGGCGCTCGCCGTTATGTGGATATACCTGAAGAAGCTCTTTCCACTTGCCCTCGACATGAAACAGAAGAGATTATCCATTCCTAGTAAGACCTTTCGCTTTTATATGTACGTATAGTTAGGATAATTCGGCGAACGGAACGGCAATAGAAAAGTCACGATTGATTACTCGTTTCGCGGAATAATGGTGGGGCATTCGTAATGACAGCCAGACAACTTTTATTCTTTTACAACACGACGTTAATCGATAATTTATCGAACCTTTTTTCAGCGTAATTCCAAGAATTTCAGGAACTAAATAGATTCTTGCGGACATAATCTTGAAGGAAATTGACTCTCTTAGATATTTTTATCTTTCTCCATAATGGAAAAATGTAATTATCAATCTAGATATATAACAAATAATGAAAATTCGAAGATTGTGCAAAAAATATCTCGAATCTGACGATACGGTATAGAAAATAAAAATGACAAAAAACAGCCATCATCATTTTGTTCATATTTGTCAACTTCCTTGTTTATTATTAATCATGTAATCTAATTAAACTAGTTGCTCGTTTTGTTCCATCCTTGTGCTCATTGGCGAAAATAAGTTACGTAATTAGCGTGGTGAGATAACTCGCGAGTAAAGTCGGGCATTACGAAAGAGAAACACGCGTCGAATCGTCTCGACGTTCGCTTCGCAGTCCCGGAGGGTCCATAATGGTTTGTTATTGATCTATCTCCGCGCGCCTTCCTTACACTTTTCTTCTTCCTTTCGTCCTTCGTCCTGCTGCCTTCGTCCATGCCGACGAACGTTGGGTGGTACACGAGGGACGCGGTGGGAGAGCACGGCAGTCCCACGCAGGAATTCCCGAGACTTGGGGGAGAAAAAACCACCCTCCTTTCCTCTCTTTTGACTTTTTTATTTTTTATTTATTTTTATTTATTTTTTTTCTCGAGAATCTCGCCAAAAGTTTCTGTGAGAGAAAAATAGAGAAGAGCCGCTGTGAAATGTTTCGTGGTCACAAAGCTCGATATATATAGAGAGAAATACTTCTTTTTTTATAATTAAACTTGACCGCTTTTGTTTGAGGCACATATGTATAATATGTTATATAATATTTCAATATTTCCATTTTTTTAGAATTGCGAATTTAATTATTCATTCATCAATTACACATTTATACTGCATTTAATAAAATATATTATGATCATTTCGGGACAGATGGACCTCCAGGTTGAAATAAAATCGATAAGCTCGAATTGTTAAAATATGAGACGTAACGTGTTGTTCTTTTTGTGTTCTCCATAATGGAAAAATGTAATTATCAATCTAGATATATAACAAATAATGAAAATTCGAAGATTGTGCATAAAATATCTCGAATCTGACGATACAGTAAAAATAAAAGTTACAAAAAACAGCCATCATTCTTTAATATTATAATATATTTAAAAAACTGTAATAAAAATTATAATATATTATGCTTCCATTTTTCGCGAACGAACAAATTTCAATTTTATCTAATACTCAATCAAAATAATTGATTTCATAAAATGTTGTTTTATCTCGTTTACTCTCGTTTTTAATGAACTATCAGAACAGTTTTCGAAAGATAAACAAATGCCAATACCGGTTATACAAGCACAATCAATAAGCTACGATTTTATAATTGAAGAACATTGTAGTTGCAATTAAAATTTAAACAGTGTGATAAATATTTTTATAGCTAAGAGCGCATTAAAAAGCTAAAAGAGCATTAGAAAATATGCTATTTGCATGTATGTATACTAAATATATTCTATTTTATACATATAGTGCTAAACTGAGTTTGATAAACGTTTTTAACTTTAATACTCCGATTAACTTTATTTGGTAAAAAAAATTTTCAATTTTTCATATATTTCTTAAATATAGGACAATTGCATCGATTGACGGACTATTTAGTTTTAAAAAGAGTTTTATAGCACAAAACGATTCAATCAAATACGTACTAAAGGAGAGATTGACTTAATACCTCGTATCCCGTTTATTATTTTTATATTGAGAAAGTTTACATTAATATAAAAATAATAACTTTACGAGACGTGGTAAAATGATTTTTTAAGTAGAAGCGATTTACGATTCGAATCTCGCTTGTATCGATTTCATCTCTTTCAATATTACTATATATTAGATAATATATATGTTTGTAACGTATATATGCAATAAACACAAAATTGAAAAAGTTGCGGATAGAAGGAAAACCTGTATAAAGTTTTTAACATATATGAAATATCCTGCAATGCAGAATTATTTTTTATTGCGTATTTTATTTCCTGCTTATGTGTGTGTATTTGTGTGTATGTGTGCGTATACATTTATAAGTTTTAATTTTTTGTTTACTATAAATTTAGCTTTATATATGTAATTATAATTTGATATCGAATTTTCTCATATTGTCAACGTTTTCGTTATATACCATAATCGTCAAATCTTTAAACAAGATTAATTTCGTATATCTTCCTTATCATATTTAATCACGAACGAGTGCATGTTATTCCGGATTTTTTTTTTTTTTTTTTTTTTTTTTAATCTATCTTCCTTCCATCGCGCGCAATATGTTTTCCGAATAAAAGATCGAACGTGTCTCTCTAGGAATGATATTAATACCTCATATATAGACGTTACCGTGAAATTCGATCAACCGGAATGGCGATGATTGACGTCACGACTCTACCGTCGGAATGCAATTAATATTGCATAAATGAGACCGTCCTGCAAACTTGTAGCAATTAGCACGATTCTAATTGTATGACAGAGTCGCGTGTAATTTGCACACATAATCATGCAGAGAAAGTTTTATACCTGTCGTATGTGGAAAAAAGTACAGTATTTGAAGGTGCACGTGCCGTCTAATATAATCGTACAGCCACGTATCTCTACATGTGCCTCGTAAAATATACGTTTGTCTCTTATACACCGTTAATATAAGGACATTAGGCGCCTGGTATAACCAACGAGCTACGACACGACTCGCGTGAATAAGTCATGCAGCGCCACGATCTAAAAACCTTATTTCTAAATTGACGTAAGTCGACGGACGAGCTCGTTGTCGATGACGACTTAGAGTCGTCGGTATTCGCGAATGTAACTACAAAAGCGACTTTATTTTATCATTTGCCGATACAGGAAGGGCGAGAGAGAGAAAATACGCTCTACGCCGTCTGAATAATAAATGTTCCACCATCGAGCCGCTGCATATCGATACACTTCGTACACACATATGAGCTTTTCAGCGGAAAGAACGCGATGCCGAAGTCAAACGGCGCAAAGAAGTATTCCGCTCTTCGCGAGAGTGGAGGACTTTCGCTCGCCAACTGTCCGCTCTTCGTTTAACCTATGATTATCCCGGTACTTGGTATCCACCTGTCATTACGATACATTGTGGCGACACCCATCGAGTTTCGTGCGCCGCTGCGGAAGGGAAATATTTGCCGCGTACTTCCTGATTATGTGCCTCCACGGGTAATCACGAATCATGCGAGGAAGAAATACCTACATTCTAATGTAATGCTAAGCTACTTCCTTCAACAATTTTTTTCCCGTAAATACGCTCAAAGATTCGATCAAGTAGAACGCCATAACAATGTCGCAGAGTTGTAAGTTTCGAACTTAATAAAACCGATTTTCTTTCTAAGCAGAAATTAAAATCAATCAAAACAACAATTGCATTACATAAAATTTCGGCAAATTCGCAAAGAGTTGAATATTACGAATGTACGAAAATATTTAATCTTTCCATTTTATGACGATAGTGTTGTTAAACGCGATAATTGGAGTATAGGATAAATCCCATATTTATAGCTATTACGAATTGAACAGGTGTAACCTATACTAATTTTAATCTCTGTATTTAAATCACTTACCGAAAATTTATGATATATACATACACGAGAGTCTATTTTCTCTCAGAACGTCTGGAAATTATACAAGCCAGATCATTGCTCGCGTCGCATGACATGACAAGATTGTAATTAAAATGGTAATCGCCGGTTCGATAAAATGCCATCTCCATTACAAAGCGCCCAACTACGGAGAAAATATTAATCTACATCCTTGAGCTACATTTCTACGTTTTATAAAAATAATGAAGGTGCTCGGTGGATGGCTTCCTTTCGGATGCCGTTTCATCGTATAATAACTGCGGAATAAGAGGGCAGTAATTACTTTTCGTGAAACTGTCACGTTTGTCGGACTCGCTCTCCATTCACTCTCCCCGTGCTTCGGTTATTACTAACAACGAATAGCAGCGGCTGCGTTAATTCCTCTTATGGCAATTCACGATATACTCGATGCTTTGTAAAAATAACGTTTGTATATATTCATCGGAATAATATGATAACAGTATTTTCACGACAATGCACGCGCGGCATTGTCATGCTTCTCTTTTTCAATTTTACGCGTACATATTCTCGATAATTAAACTAAATTACACTTGTACAAATTTTTCCAAAGATGTAACGAATTATAACGAAATTAAATTATCCTTTCAGATTTATACATAATACATACGAACGTGAATATAAAACTGCGATATAAACCTATATTAACGATTCTTGACTTACAATAATTTCTCTTGGGATTTCCGATATTTGCGGAAGCTACTATTTCGCGGATATAAGATGAACGTTTAGCGAAAGATTCTGTATTATGCTACCAAGCGACGAAGATGTCGTAGGTCTCGATGGTCACAGAACTGGTCGCCGGTATAGGCAGTCTGGATATATCGAGGCGAGAGAAGGGTCTTCCTCAGGTTCTTCGGCTTCGATCCAGACGGGGACGACCTCTCCCTCGCCGGAGGAAGGAAGGAAGAACGGAAAGAGAAAGAGAGAGATGGGTGCACGCATGACCCTGAACCCAACCGCCGTGGCACCCAACCCCCGGTACAGGGGTGCGAAGCCTCGGGAGAGAGAACTCGAGATAGAAGCAAGGGCGAAAGAGAGGAGATCGCGGTGGGCGAGGGAAGGATATACCATATATACGAAGAAGAGAGAGAGAAAGAGACTCCGCCGTCGAGAGAGAGTACAGTTCCCGAGATCAATACTCCCGCGTCTTGCGATCATTCATCTTGCCACGCCCCTCTGCTCTCTCCACACATTCCCCGTCTTTCTCGTTCCCTTTCGTTCATCCCCTTTTCCCCATCGGTCTCTCTCTTTCATTCTCTCGCTCTATCTCCCCTTTCCTCACCCTTCGCGTGCCGCGATCTTCATCCCTCTGGTAGCGGCACCCCTTATAGTCGTGGTCGCCGTCATTTGGCGCCCAATCGTGGCGCCTAATACGAATGGAGCAAAGGGGAGAGAACTTTCCGAAGGTCGCAGGAGAGAGGGAAATCTAGAGAGAGAGAGAGAGAGCGTGATAACGCATAAGGTGGTGGCTCCGGTTTCCTACGCATTGACTATACACAGTTTTATGGGAAAATGACAATTTCTTAGATCTGTGTATCATATTCGAAGCTGTATTTAGTTTGTAGATAAAGAGACATATTGTAAAGAATAATTGTTTTATTGTTTTAATTTAATTTTAATTTTTATCCATATCCATTTATCTTTATTCGAAAACATATTTTTTCGAAACTATGCTTAATATCATTTTTATAAAATTAATTTACACCCAACGTTTTTAAAAAGATTCGTAAAATTGCGGACAAAACATAATTTATGCTGTTTTCCAATTAGAAATGAACATTATTTTGTAGCAGAAAAATACTTAACATGCGAGAAAAATATTGCGAGACGTGTAATTTATATGTTTATTAAAATTTATTTTTTTCTTGTAACATTTTTGAATTAATGATCTTTATAACCTGATAAAATAATATAAAGATACATTTTATAAAAATATTACATTTATTATACATGTCAAATATCGCATACCACATGTGCGAAAGGACAAAATAAAAATAAATCTCTCTTGAAGTAAATTATTTGGAATATAAAAATAGAATCTATGCCGACTACGTGTATTATTGACTGTTATTATTGTATTTATTAACTGTATAAGACGCTTAAGTATGTGAGAGAAATTGTTTACATATGATACTACTTATGATATATTCTCGCAGCTATCAGTTTTCATCGACCTCTTGAAATGGAAAGACACGGCGCCTTTTATTGTTGTTATTCTGTACTCTTATTTCTAATTTTTCGATTATTTTTATTTGTTTATAACGGTAATACTTTAACTACTTCTAATTATAAAATGCTGTATTCCAGTCGGTGCATGAATATCGATATTAGTGAAATTGACGTTTGCCAGACTCGAAATAATTTTCCAGAATTACGTAAAGTTTCTTTTATTATTTTTATTTATCTCTTCTCTCTGATCTCTTTGCTAGTTTACTTATACATAATTATTGACAAAAGTAAATGTTGGATGAAACCTGACGGAATAGATCGTAGATAAAATTAATAATGCAAAGAAAAAATAAAAATGAAAAATGTATATGAGGCCGTATGTGATGCGCATTGAACGTAATTTAAGTGAAGTTTTGGAGGCAACATTTATTTTCTAATTAACAATAAGAAAATAAATATACCAAAAGATGTTGCGGACAATACGAAAGCAATACTTTTAAATCGAACGATTATTAACTGTAAATTTAAGGGCTAATAAAATATGATCTACTCGCGATAAAAATCTAAATTAATCAAAAATTTTTTAATGAATTAATCGATACATTTATTTCTTTCCTAATATCTTTATTTTATCAAATTTCTTTTCATATTGTATTTTTTTTTTTTTTCGATCTTATGTCGAGAAAACTCGTGCACGTCTAAAGATATTGTAAGAAGAAAAAGATTTAATTACTATAAAAATGTTTCGCGGTGAAACGCATTGGAGGAAAAATTATAAGCTGAATCAATTATTACTCATTTATCATAATATTTGGTCTATAATAACCAGGGATTAAAATTTGTAATTTAACGAATTTATCTTTTCTTTCTGCAAATACATTCTTTACTCCAATCATTGTATTGTAATATAAAACTCATTTCTTTATTAGAGTAGATTTATCTCGAATTATCTTCGTATTATGATTGGCAAATATTTTACTAGAAATAATAAGAGTATGTGATTACAATGCATCTCTTTTTTTCTATTATTATATGTAAACTTCGCGTACAAAAGATATATAAAAACTTGATAAAACATTAGTAAAATATTGAAATAATGAATTCAAAATATTGAAGTAATATTGAAAGTAATAAAAATTAAATTTTACTTTAAAAATTAGCAAATTTATTTATTTACAAAAGTCCATGTTTTTAAATGGTATATCGAAATATAATCATGCGCTACAAACAATTATTGTTTATTGCCTTTCGTATACTTTTTTAAATAAGTATTTAAAAACAAAGCAAAGAAAATCTAGATAGAAATCCGTTCTAAGTAGGGATGTAAAAAAACGGCGAAGAAAATCGAACAAGCGAGATGGAGCGAGGAAAAGCGAGAAGATCCAAGTAGGGACGAGCTCGTTCAAAGTCTCGAAGATGTCCGTGATATCTTTTCCTTTGAATCGTTTCCTCGCTGCTATCGCACCACCTGTCGCTGCCATCGTACTTGTTACATTCGCCAACCCCTCCCGTCGCTTCGTTTCTTTCGTGGGACGGACAAAAAGAAATCGAATTACGGGCGGAAGACGCGCACACGATCTGTCTACGATCGATTCGGTCATTCTCTCGAGGTCAATGCGAACGATTTGTTACAAACTGATCGTTCCTTCCGACAGATAGTTTCTCATCGCTCCGGGGAATTATCTCGAGAAAATTTATAACGTTTATTTTTCGAAAAATAGAAAAACAGACACGTCAGTCGTTCCATTCGCATATACGGAGAGAATTTTCTCTTAGAATTTATCCTGAAAATCGTGGGATTGGAAATAAAATTAATCGAATTTTAACATATTTTATACGTATATGTTATATGGTAGATATTAATATTTTTGTGCTAAATATTTAATCAGAGAAACTTTTAAATTCTTTTGATACTATATTGTCCCACGATTATCATGATTTTCAAGGTAAATTCTAAGAGAACATTTTCTCTGTGTACATACAATTAAGCGTAGAAATTATTTTCGTCTATTTAAACAGCATAAAAATCTGATCTCGCTATATGATTCTGTACAATTTTTATTTCTGAATAAGACATGCTCGGCAAACTAATGTTAATTCGATGACGAATTTAACAGAGAGATTTAGTTTGTTGACATATTGTAAAGAACATTCTCAATTTACGAATAATGAAAATATTTTAATTCTCACTGATTCGACATGTATTGCAGTATAGTTTCATCTCATTAAACAACAATATTCCATCTCTATTCGACGTAGTCGGATATTTCTCGCGGGGCGATTTTACTAATTCTGTATTTATCGAATGTGTGCAGCAATGGAAGCCGAGGATGACGAAGAGGTCAGTGACAGTAATGAGAGATCCGACGAATCCAGCGAAGTTTGGGACTGTGTCGGGGGCGGAGGTGACGAAGGCGGAGGAGACGAACAGCTCTTTCAGATCAGCCGGCTGCAGCAGCACGCCACCTCGATAACGAGCTTCAACCGGTGAGTAGCGCAACATTCTTCTTATCGTCCGTCATTAAAAAAAATTCGCCATGTCTGCCGTATCGTTTCATACTTCTCTCGCTTTTGGCAAATCCTTCACATTATATATACGGAAAAAATACAAGTATTGGCCGTATAAACTGAGCATAAGACGAGAACATATATACACAGACACCACGGAGCTTTTTCTCAGCGATCGTGATGTTCGCATGGATAAATCAAAGAGTACGAAAACGTGTCGTACATCGTGCGAGAGATCGCTGCCGATCAATTTTCAAACGCATATTATAGCGCAAGAAGATTGAATCGAAGTGTCGCTATGCAACAACAGCATTTGTATCTTTCGCTTTGCCCGTCATTATTTTGCGCTTTACCTATCTCGAATTACTCTCGATCTCTCGCAACATATTTTGAATAAATTCATTCGGTACTGATCCAGTAGTCCTTTTCATGGCTGGAAGTATTTACAGTATCGTATATTCTGAATGAGCGCATAAACAGGCGCTTGATTATAAATAAAACGCTGTGCAAAAACATGCACAGCAATTCCATAACATTTAAGTAGATATATTATTACCATTATTAATGTATACAGAATTATTGCTACATTAATCGAAAACAGTGATTAAATCTCACTCTCCGATTAGTGACGAATTAGGAAACATAATAGCATGTCGTATTCATTGAATTGCAATTAGTAAATTATTTATTGCTAGTCAGACTTAAGTAGAACTGTCAAGTAGCTTTTACGCTATATCCGCGCATAAAATAAACTCTAAAATATGATTGTTCGACTAGAAATTAGATAAAGAGCACACATCTCTCGTCTCAAAAAATATTTAACAATTTCAAACGAGTCAATGTCCCGTGAATCAAAACCGAAATAAAATGTATATCGCGACATGTTCATGGAGATTCTGACGAAATGATGCGCGTAATGCGTGCACGAGAAATCGTTCCGCCCTTTTCCGAGTTTCTGCCGCCAGACTGCCAAGAGAGTTTAACGAACTCCCTTCCGTCTTCCGTTTAGCTAGAACGCCGCGTATTTTCCCCAAATTTCCTCAAACGCCTATTTTCACTCCCGGTACGCCCCTTTTCCTCGCCAGACGGCTCTCGTATCGCGCGCGGACAGAACTCGCACGCTCGAGAAAGAACGGAGAGTATCACCTATCTACCTATACCTATTACCGAGTGGAAGAAAAAGAGGAGAAAAGATGTGTGCGCTATGCGCGCGTATATACGATTGCGAGCGCGAACCGGCCAAATATACGCGGTGCGTCAGCGTCGCGGCGCGCGGCGTCGCGTCCTCCCTTCCTGCACCGTTTCAACTGCCGGGCGCCTCGTTTGAGGTCAACGTCATCCGGCCTCTCTTTCGCTCTCTTTCCCGTACGCGCGCGACTGTCCTCACCCTGTCTCCCTTCCTTCGCTTTGCGGTATCCTTTGTAACGTCCCTTCCCCTATCTGTCTCTCTCTTTCTTTCTCGCTCTCCTTCGTTTTCTTCATTTGTCTTCGTTCGGGACATTCGGACGCGTCTCGGATGAGCGAACTTTGAAACAAGCATACGCGGGTACGCTCCTGTGCTCGCAAATACACGAGGTCACCGTTATCGTTACAAAATTGAAGAGTTGACGGCTGTAAGTGCCGGACAAATAAAAAACTACTAATATTTTTTTTTATTCTGAAAGGACACGAAAATTATGAACATAAACATTTTTTATATTCTTTATTTTATATATAAATACTCTCGTAAATGGTATAATATAATTTTTTATAGCATTTTTTTTTACAACATTTTCTTGGAAATACTCGACGAAGAAGTGACTATTTAATGTATATATTCGACACATTCGAAAATATAAAAGAAACGAACGTGTGAATATATTTTCATTACAAGAATAATATTAAAGGTGAATAAAATGTGTTCGCAATGTGTTTCATCTTAAATCTTAGAGTATTTTACCGACTGGATTATCGCTATAAAAATCTTTGCGACCTTATTAAAAATTCCAGGAATTATTACGCGTAACTGCAGGAAAAATATAAATCTTCTACGGTAGAAGGATTTTCGATTCGCCTCGCGGTTAAGTGGACCTAGGCAAAAAGCGGAAATAGCGTGCCGCCCCAGTCGTCGTTAAAACTGCCGTTGCTTTTTTTTTCTTTTTGCAAATAGTAGCCGATGCACGAGATGCCGTACCGAGAACATTAGCATACGCGATCGAATATAATCGAGCCTTCCGCGAAAGGATATTCAGGGAGATGTCCAGATAGTTTACGCATTTTTGTCCTTTTACATCATCTATAAAATTTAAGGAACCATAATTAATTTTAATTTAAATATAAACGAAAAGATTTATATTTGATGTATAATAGATGTACATACGCGATATGGCTTCTTAAATTTCGACATTTTGGCATAATTATATTTGTAGCCCTAATGAGAAATTTGGCGATACGAATCGATCGAAAGTGCCGACTTGAAGTCGGCAGAAACAAGAGTAATTCTCGTGTATCGTAGTTGCGTGTCGCCGGTTGCTCTAGTATTCTGCAGCGTGTAATTAAAAGCGTGTTTCGTAACCACTCACACGTTCTCGGACGGTTTCCGATTACCCACGGTTAGGGACAACGTGCGCGAATTACGCGCTTACGGGATTCCACGTGTAACCGTGTAGTTTCTTCCGGTGTAAATGAGCCCGGGAGAACGTGGAAACCGAGTGTTCTCACGTGTTCGCGGTATATTCTCGACGGCAGGAGGAATGCGGCTGTGTATACACACTTCTTTCGCAATACACGTGGAATACACGTTATTAAACTCGCTTTATCGTGTATTAAGAATTAATGGCGAGCTAATATTAAACCCCGTGGCAATATCTCTTTATTCTTCGAGAGCACGTTGAGCGCGCGAGAGCACATCCTCTCTTGACACTTTGATCTTTATTCGCGTCGCTTCACGCGACCGTTTGACTTGAACTCTGTGTTTACCTCGATTATATACATCAGATGACACGACGAAAATTCGGCGTTCTCCAAGCCGAAGCTAAATTTATCCCTAAACGTGGAACACACAAGATCCTTTGTTCTTAGATACGTTGTTAATGCATTACGCCATTCGTTCTGCCCAATTAATCCGCAATATCGGAGACGACCTGGCGGATTCTCGTTCCGAGAAATGACAGTTGTCGATGGTAAATGGCAGGTAGAATTATCGTTAGCGGCGGCATTATCGTTCTAGCCGGTCGGCTAACACTTTCGGCGTCGCGACGCAGTTCCGTGAAACGCGCGTCATGCGTGCATGGGAAATATTTCGGAATACCGAACGAGTTAGAGAGGGACGCGTCGTCGGGCCGGCACGACGGGTTTGTCCGGATGGTACGCCGTGTCGTTCCGTGTCGGTGTGTATGCACGACATCGACCGGCAGACGAAACAAAATACTGCTAAAATTAATCCGGGCCTTAGGTCATGTCTGCAAGGAGTCTAGACGACGACGACGACAACGACGACGACGAACGATGAGGACGACGCGAGTCGCCCAAAGTGGACCGAAGCGTGTGGGCGCGAGATACTTTAACGAGTTCTGGTATTTCGACACATTTCCGACTTCCTGCTATACTCGCTCCTTCTCCCTTTTCACTGTATCTCTGCTCCTTCTTTTCCGCTATATTTAACATCTGCTCCTTTCCTATACGTCAGGATTTGTTGCTCGTCTGCAGGCAGCGCGGCAGAAAAATTGCCGAATATTCTTTTTCGTTGGAACAACTAGATTAATCAATTATCAAGGTCTTCAAAATTTATTAATATTATTACTGAAATTTCAATTGGGACATTTTGAATCGTTTTTATATTAACAATCCTCGGAGAAATATGAAATTGAAAATAACATTTTTCTTATATAATAAGAAGTTTTAAATGAAAAAGAAGGAAAAAGTAAAAACGTCACGGTTTTTATGTAATTAAATACTGTTATATCATACATTATCTTGATTTTTGCATTTTCTTTTTTTATTCTCTTTAACCTTTCAAATATTTTCTTATCGTTTACACAATTTTATTTTAATGGCACTATTGGAGAGACGAAGTGAAACTTATTTTTGCTCTTCGGTTGTTGAAATTCAATAGCTTGCCAGAGAGAGCTTTAGAGCTTTCATATCCCCTATGAATCCGTAAGTTACGTAAAAGTCACTTATGTAAATTTAATCGACGCACCGGGCTTTTTATTTATTTAACTTTTTTATCCATATCCATTAATTCCTCTCTCATATAATTTACGAAGTATATATTACGCCCTCGAGTAGTTTTTTCTCCATATAAAAAAAAAAAGCCGTGGTAAACTTTTGTACTGTATTAAGAAATATCGTTACACTTTATTCCGGCCGTGCACGCCGGAATTCTAATTTTATTCTAAATCGTCGTCGGTATATGTATATACGCCACACGAAAGTCCTTTATCGCAGATTATAACCCTCTAACGTGCACGCCACGAAATTCGATTTGCGCTGTTAGTGATGTGAGCCAGAAGCGACGAAATTTGGTTCGACGATGACTGGGTCGATTCCGGTCGTCGAATATTTGCTATGTGTCGCGCGCCTCTCTATTGCCTCTACTGCGTAGAACAGATAATACGGACATTGTTCGGTGTGAACACAGCTTTCGGCCAGATGGCACGATTTTCCGATGGCACGTTACCCCCTGCTTTTTCTGCGTTCACTCGCCGCTGATTGTTGCTCGCTCCCGCTTTTCATTTGCAACGTCGTTTCCCGATGAGAAATTGCCGATCATTCATTATACGGAGAGATACGTTATTCGTTTATTCATTTATTTATTATATTGTTATATTGTCGCATGTATTTGTCCATTACGGGAATAGTGCAGTTGGTTTCGAAAAAGAGACGGAAATGATATAACGAGCGCACGTTATTTACAAAGTTCCAAGAAATCACTGTTTTATATTAGTCGCGCAATTTTGTCGTTTATACGATGACATCGGGCGTCCAGCTTCAATTAG